AAAAACTTCCAAAAATAAATTTTCAAAAGAGAGTGTGAAAAAATAAAGTGTGAAAAAATAAAAATAATTGATTAATGGATATTTAAATAATTTTATAAGAGTTAAATTTGTAATTAAATTTTTGGAATGCATTGAGAAGAAGTTGGGATGCAAATAGTTGCTCTCCCATAGCTTTTGCTTTTTTTTTTTTTTCTTATTAGCCATTTATCATTTCCCTTATGTCAAAGTACCATATATATAAAGAATGATAATTAAGAGTTTCTATTGGAATAACACATACTATTTCTTTGATGAAAATTTTCAAATAACATTTAATATCAATGATGTAAGTTAATCTCTAATTCAGTACCAAAAAGTTAATATCTAATTCAAGACAAAGAAAAAATATGGATTAAATTCAAACTTGTCGGTGTAGTATAGTTCAAATACTATCAGTGGCCATTTACCATTTTAAAAGGGATACTAAGACCAACCACTTGCCCAACAAATGAGAACCATGATAGAAGATATAGTTCCATCACCACTTCAAATTTAGGCTGAGCAGTATCACTGAGGAAAAGCAACTTCATCCACTCACCAGTCCCACATGGATGTAATTTGTACCATGGTCTGTTCAAGCATGGATGTTCCTACAATTGGAAATATTCACACATCACCTTCATATAGCATGCTTCAAAAAGATAAACTACAGTACCCTTATACAACAAACAGCTGATTTTAAGCGAAATTCTACTTTATATGGTATTCGGCGTCATACGCTTGATAGATTCTCTACTTTAACAACATTTATCCTTGGTCATTCCAATGTAAAATTCGCAACAATCAACTTAAGCATATGTCAGTTTTTCGAGCAAGATAGATTGAGAAAGAATATAACAGGAATTTAGAACGCTTCTTATAAAAAGGATGAGACAACCAAGGAAAAGAGATAATTAAGGTAGGAAAAATATACCTCTCGAGTTATGAATGTCCATCTTGATTCTGACAATTCCTTTGAAGAGTATGCAGGAAGCTCCTTTTCTATTTCATCCAATGACAAAGGTCGTCCATCTGTATATGGTATGGTAAATCATTCAGTTATACTCTTCAAATAATTAATGAATCGAACAATTTCAAACCAGACTTCACGTATATGCACCTACCCACACTCACACTTGCACAGCAAGCAAGAACATGATAACCTGTATCCTTGGCATGCCATCAGCAATATATACCAGGTATTAACATACATAAAGCACCAACCACACAGCCTTCCAAACAACCCAACACAAAAGCACTTGATTAAACATCTATTATTTGCTACTTACAGCTTTGGTTATCCAATAATGTGCAGTTTTGCTATATGATGGATCCCTCAGCACAGGATCTATTCTGCCACAATATAATTTGGTATGTTATGCTTACATGAACTTCACTTTGTTTGGTGCCATGTTTGTAAAACTGCAGATAGTTCCGGTTACCTGGTAACTCAGCTTATCACCTATTCTAGGGCAGTTTTAGTAGTCTCAAGTAGCCAAATCACCTCTAGCCAATCTAAACTTGCCTTAGGTTAATTCTTTTAGTGCATAGCCTTCCATAATTGAACCACTTATCATCTGTGATAAGAATCTTTGTTGAAGAAAATGGAACAGATCATAGACAATCCAAAAGTATTAAGGCAAAAAATCATCTGAATCAAGATCCCAGGATTTGGAAAGTTTCAGCTACACTGAACAAAGCATACTGAAAAACTACTGTCGATTATTAGCATTATCACTTTGGTCTTTTGGCCAGTCAGCCTAATGTCTGATCTAAAACTTTAAACATCATAGAGTGACGTAAATTTTTTTTCTTTTTTCTTTGATTTGGGGGAAGAAGGGATTTGAACCTAGCTTTTTGAACAGGGGAATATGTGCACTTACTTTTGAGCCAAATTCTCAACTGTGGCGTGGCAAAATTTTAACATGTAAGCAATTGACCACAATGCTGATCTAAAAAATAAATCATAATCATTAGTTAGGAAAAGCAAATAGCATAAGTTACTTCCAACTTAGGTTTCTTGAATATGAGATATAAACAAGCTAAATTATGTCACAATTACGTTCTACCACAAGCTGACACAAAATTTCCTATCATAATGGCTATCTTGAGGGAGGAAATGGCCGAGTGAACTTACTGCTGCAGTAAGCACGGAAATATAGCATGGAACCTTGAATGAATTACTGTATATTATATGGAAATCATAGTAATGTGATTCATGTTGATTGCTTTGGACCTAGAAAAACAACAAGAACATTATGAAAGTCAGTTAATCATAAACAGGCTATAGAACTAGAAAGTCCATTTTTACTCCCTAGTAACACATGTTTTTTACACTTGATGTAAGCAAAACAACTAGAAAAACCAATCAAAATATATTTACCAATGTGGCATCATCAATAACATCTTCGTTTCCAGCGCACCCGGTCTCTTCTTCCCCAGGGTCAGTTTGACTAGTTTGATCAACATCTTCCTGCACCCAACAGCAAGAGAAAACAAAAAATGGAGAAAACATAATTTTTTGTTGTTAAATATTTATAATCCATTAAATGACTGAGACTGGACCTCACTTGGCCTAGAAATGCATATCTTTTCCAGTGACAAATACCCTTCCTCCTGCAAAAGCTAAAAACAAGTTGAATCCTTTATGTAAAGCAAATGTTCAGATTAGATAAGAATACACGAAATTCTCAGATAAAAGCATAGAAATAGAATAAGTGAAAATTTGTAGACCGCATACTGTCTTATTCATTTCATTGTTATCCATTTTTTTCAATACAACTACAATATAAAAAAAAAAAATTTGTATCACAACAAATTCAAAAGGATATCCCATGAAGTGAAGTGTCAAACTTTTGGGTAGGCGTGACAACTCATGTGCTTGTATTTAATTTTTTTAATTTTATTAAACTTATATATATATATAATTATAATTAAAATTTTAAATCAGTCTATTTTTGTATTATATTCATATTTTGTATCATTTCATATTTTAGATTTTCAAGTTTGCTCGTGGGCGGGGATAAATAGATATATAATTGAATTTGCAACCAAAAATGGTTTAAAATGACTGAGAAAAGTAACCTCGGGAGAAGCAAGCCAAGGATGTTTAGGACAAGGAACCCAAGACCAGGGATTAAAAGCAAAGTTAAGACTTTCCCATTTCTGAGCAAAAGCAACAGCACCAACTCTGAAATCCTTTGCGGACAGGGTTCCATCCCATTGTAAAACATCCATCATAACTTCGATTACTGTCCAAAACAGTTCCAACGCTACAATAAAATAAGAAATAGTATTTCAAAATTAATTTCTCCGAAAAAAAACCCGAAATTTTAATGTAATTATGAACAAAATAAGAACTGAAGACTCACCTCCAGGAATCTGGCGAACGGAAAAAGGAGCGGTGATATCGAGAAGGTTCCTGAGTGGGAGTGATGGGTTCAAATTCCCTTCACCGGGAGTAAAACTTGCTCTTTTAACTTGATTGACAACGTAGTTTTCCGGGAAACGCTGACTTTTCTTTTTCCGGCACAGAGTTTTTCCAATTTTCCCGGTAATTATAAACGAGTTTAATCATTATCGTATGCTTTTTGTGTCAGTGATAGAATTTATAAATGGAAAAAGTAAAAAAAAAAAAAAATTATTGCTACAGCTTTTTTAAGTTAAAAATAATTAACTGTTAAGAACTATTAAATAATTTTTAGTCAAGCTTTTTCGGATTTAAATCCTTTGATATTCAAAATTTTTGGAACTGTAATTAAAATCAAATTTACTGCTAAGCTAAGATATTGACTTTTGTTCATTACTTCAAAGTGTTGAATTTGAGCAAATTATTGGCTTTTTCTTTTGTCCAAAATCAGGAGGATGCTTGTTGCTGGTGTAGTTTGATATTTTCTGGCTTACATTTTGATTTTTTTTATTTATAATTTTGTAATTCACTTTCATAATAAAAAAATCATAAAAAAAATTAAAATGAGGATAATTTTATAATTTTAGTCAAATTTAATTAATTTTTGACATTATTTCTTTTTAATAACAAAATGGCCCAGTGACCAAAAAAAAAAAACTTTTTACGAAAAGTGTAAGCGAAAAATCACAAACCATATGAAATGTACGAGAAATTTACTCTATTTCTTTTTCAAAAATTTTCAGGCCAAGAAGAAGAGAATTACTCTTCCTCTCCTTTATTCATTCATGCATCTCTGAAACTGTATAGAGAATAAAAGAAGAGTACAAATACAATTATAGTGGTATAATTTTTAGAGCTTTTTACTCTTAAATCAAAATTAGTAAACCTAAAATTAATATTTTTTTCCAAAATAAAATTTTTAAAAATGACTCCATGAACAATTGATTTAAGGCTGAAAAACTTTCTAGCAAAGATAAAAGGCAAATTAACCAAAAACAAAATTAATTTTTTTAGATTTTGGTAACTGAAATTAGACGATGTTACATTGAGTGTTGACACCAAACTTATCTTTTTTCTATAAGATGCAAACCATTATCGTGAGGCATCAAACAACAATAAAATTTTTGAAACCATCAAGAATTGAACTAGTAATTTTTTTTTTTTTTGTTTATAAATGTTCCTCTTGCAGGGCCTGCCCATGCCAACCATAATTCCGTCTGGGCTCCAGCTTAAGTAATCAATTACTTTTTCCTACCTGATTAAGGATCATTTATTCGGATGCTAAAATTAAAAACAGTAATAGAAATTATAGTAACTGCAATTAAAAAAAATTTAAGCTAAATGAACCTCACCAAAATTAACATTTAAATTCAACTGGTGGTGTGATAAAGCTCAAAATCCAAACCCCTACCATGCAATCCAGCACCGAGCAGAGATTGTTCATCTTCTTCCAGCTCTCGTCTTCTTTCCATTGAAGTAGCCAACAACTAACATAGGATAAGAATAATGAAGAAGCCATCTAGTTCGAATGGCCCTATGCGAACCCATACCAAAATAGAAACAAAATACAAAGTACATACAAAAACCGAGTGCATATATTAGAGGATTAAAATATCTTGTACACCAGATTAAAATTAACAAGGCAATTTTTTTTTCTTTTTTTTTTTTTTGTTCTTTTTTTAATACTAAGTCCATTCATACACTGCAAACTGGAAGGTTAAGGCTAACAGCTAAAGTGAGCGGATCACAGTCACCTTTTAGCCATGTTTGGGAATTAGTGAAGATATGGAGCCTGATACTGGTAGCCGTTTCCAAAGTAGTTCCCATGACTAGGAGAGAAGTTGTACGTGGCAGATCCAAGAAGTAAGGGTCCGTGATTGTCAGCAGGTCCAGCGTAAACATAGGGTCTGTCATACACGTACTGCGGGTACCTATCAGGGACTCTAGGATAGAATGTTTTGTCAGCAGCTACGTTAGTGACTCGTGGACCATATCCTGCACCATTGGCACGAGGTCTCTTGGGTTGAGGCTTTGCAGCTTCGGTTTCCTTCTTCTTGTCCGCCTTAGCCTTCTCTAACAGGAAAACCCGCTTCTGAAGTGGGTCAACAGGGTATTGCTCCTCAAGGCTATGCTCCTCAATGCACTTGATCACAGCCTTTAGAGCAGTCAACTCTCGCTCACTAACCTCAGTCTGAAACTACAGAAGAAAAATTTTCAGCCATTTTCCATAAGGCTCATGAGCATGAATATTGGCAAAATATTCTCATGCATCAAGTTGCAAGAAAATTGGCCAAAAAAGGGTTGCGACAACAAAGCTGCTTTCTGGGCCACATGCAGATAGATGCTAAACAATTTAACAACCAAAATAGTGTCAGGTTGCTGAAATGTATTCAAGTTGGAACTAACTAGCCAAATCATCCTATATGATCAGACAAAGACCACAAGCCAACGGCTAACTGGCAAGAAAGCTGGTCTAATCTGCTTCGGACAAGGCCTTGTGGACATAGACAAAAATCAGTTCTTGTCCCTCAAACATACAGTTAAGGTATGGTCAACCTATATATATTCAGCCAATATTAGGCAAACCTATCACCTTGAAGCAGTCGAGTAAAGAACACACCTGAGCAGTGGGAGAGGCATTTCCAGGCTTGGCAGGTGAAGAAGCTTTTCTTGCCTCCTTCAAGTAGGATTTCAGTAAAGGTACAGGTGAGAACTGTTTAGTAAGCCCAAACGCAAATGCCAGGTTTACTGCATCAATCTGCCTTCCACTATTCACCAGAACTTCAATTACACCTGAAACATAAATAATAGAAAAGATATATAAAAGAAAGAGAAGTATAAATTAACCAGAACTAGTACAAATGAAAGAAATGGTTGATTTTCTACAATTCCATATGTTTAATCCCTCATTCTTGTTGTAAGAGCTTCAGTAGTACTATGCAAGGGAGGAAAAATAATATAGTTTAATATTACTTCACTTTGTTCCAAAAAAACTGATACCAAAGGACAAATAGCTAAAAGTGTCATTCAACGGTTCTCCAAAATGCAGGATGGTCCAATCAACTCCAAAATAGCATTTCAACAATGATATTGTTTCAAAAATATCTAAACCTAAAAGCATTTAGGTACTTTAGGAAGATGCCTATCAGTTTAAGACCAAAGATGAGCTTCCTGGCGCCAATGGCTTGAAGTCACCTAGGTTAGGGAGAATGGGAAAAGGCAGTTAATTTACTAGGCCTCACTTGACATGGTTAGTCATATCAGTTTTACAAACATGGATGGTAAGAAACATAATGGATGAATAGAATGTAAGTCTTAAAGCCCTTGGATAAGTAGAGAAATATTCAAGCTCACTTTTCGGAATCATTGTAGTTTTCCACACAAACAAATATTCTACATAAATAACTTGTAAAATATTACTATGTAAGTTGATACCAACAAACCTGGCATTTTTTCAGACAAACCAAGGGATCGGCAGAGATCAGCTGTTTGTCGACGACGAGAGACCATTGGTATCAACTTTGAAAGTTCTTCCTCATTGAAGTCAGAAGCAATACCAAAAGTGGCAAGGAGTTGCAGGAAAGCATGAGCTTCCAATGAGTTACCATTACTAGCATCCATGTCAAGAGCATCCAACTTTGGTTTCCATTCCTCAGCAATTGACTTGGCTTGCTCCTTAATATCTTCAGAGATTACAGCAGAAACAGAAACCATATCCAGGTTGCTTAGCAAAAAGCTAAGGCACTCCATCAACATGATACAGGTTCGCCTAAGACCCAGTAGATTTGAATCTTTCTTTCCATCCACATTTGGCACTTCTGAAAGGTAAAATCCTTCCAAAGATTCCAGGACCAAGCGGGCTGGGCTTGCTGCAGCTTTCAATGCCCAAGGAATTTCCTCCTTCAAGATAGCAAGGTTCTTACGATTATCTGATATAAACTTGTGCAGTCCTTCAGAGTCCATCTCCTCACATAGTTTTACCAATTGGGGATAAGATTTCACCTCGAAATTCCCATTCTCCAAAGAACATTTGATGTCCTCCGAGTTACTTTCAGAAGCTATAGAATCAGGTGGTTTCTCCTCAACTGATAGTACACCACTGTCTCCATCACAGCTGACATCAGCAGGCTCCTCAGATGATAATTTCCTATGCTTCTCTAGAGCACTAGTAATGGCAAAAACAGCAGCATCTCTCTTTTCTTGTAACCTTGCCAATGAAGCTTGTTCTTTGGCTACAACAGCTGCTTCACGCTTCAGCAACATTTCTTGATCTTTCCTTGTTTTTTTCTCAAACTCCTTTTCTTGGTCTTCCAACTCATGGAAGCGTCTCTTCAAGGACTTCTCAAGCCCATGGAAATGTTCCTCAATTTCTTTCCACTTCAGATTAAGTGTTATAGCACGATGGCTTTCAAGTTCAGCAAATGCTTTCTGAAGCTGCTGTATCTTAGAGGTTGTTGAGTCTATGAGTGTTGCAACTGACTGTGTATCTTCCATGGCATAAACCCTGAAAGAGAAAAACATCGGCAGGGATGAGATCCCCACTGCAGTAGGAGAGAAAGAATGTTTCCAAACAGATTTTATAGAGTACACAGTCCTTCTCTTTGAACCAAAAAGAAAAATGAACAGAAACAGAATATCACGGAAGATAAAGTTCAACATAAATAAACATATTTTTTTCTTTCAAAGAATTGAACATTGCCTGTGAACAGAAGTAATAAGTTAATAACCAAATACAACAATATATACTGATGAAAGGTAATAGAGTCAAAACCAACAATGTTAGAGGCCTTACATAGTTTTATCCACAACTAGGGGCAAAATATCACAAAATGAACACATGGATATTAAGAAAAGTCAGCAGCTATATTTAGAGAACCACCCATAGGTTCTTTAGCAGTCACCGAAAAGATATCTCACTTGGCATCTGTCTAAGATAACACTTGTATAAAAGAACACATACTTTTTTCTAGTAACCATACTTTTTTTCTACCTTTCTTTATTTTCCAATTCTGAAATGGCCTAACTTAATAAGGACCACTTAAAAGAAGTTTAGTTACATTAAAAACAATCAAACAGATTAAGATCTCTCCAAATTTAATTACTATCATTATCACTCATAATTTCACCATTATTTAGTTCAAAGCAAGCATTCCTTTATTCCTTGAATAGAAACAAACCACAAGTTAAACCCTAGAAAGCCTAAAAAGAACACATCACTTAAAACAACAAAAAGAGAAATCAGATATGTACAATTTTACCGTAAAGAAGAAGCTGCTTTCACAAATAATTTTACAAGCTTCAAATCCTAAACCCTAAACTACAAAAATCACCGAAACCCTGAAAAACAAAGAACACGATCAGAACACTAAAATTTCCAATTTTCAATTTTCACTGCGCACCCTAAAAGAGGTAAAAACACGAAATTTGATAGTTCAAAACGTAGGTTCCCCCGAGCCTTAAACCAAAAAAAAAAAAAAAATTTGAAGAAAAAAGAAAGAAAGAAAGAGAGTACCGATCCGGAGAGAAGAGTGAGAACGAAAGGAAAAGAAAGGAATAGCAATGGAGAGAGAAAATTACCTGATTGATTCCAAGTGAAATGGAGTAACAAAGTGACCTAATCCGATGGAGATTCGAATTATCAATCCATTTTTTCCCTTTTGGGGTTTTTCTTTTTTTTTTTTTCGAAGAGGCTGATTTTTGGATATGTGGCTGCGACAACTCTTCAATCCCTAGAGAGAGAGAGAGAAAGAGAGAGGAAAGTGTCAAGATTTAAAAGCTAGTGCTTTATTGTTATGGAGCACTCTCGTTTTTGCTGTCGGACAATAAAAAATTGTGTCTGCCCTCCGTTGTAAAGTTAAGTCTAGGAGGTGGGGTGTCAGTGACCTTCAGGAGTGCTCTTAAAGTTATACCACATTTTAATTTTAGTCAGACAATGATTTAAGGCATGTTTGGATTGAGGTTAAGAGACATTGTATTACTAAACTGAGCGGGCTGGGCTTGGCCCAATAAAAAATCAATAAGAAATTATTGTAATTTGTCTTTACGTCCTGACTTTTTTTTCTTTGGTATATATATTTTTTAAAGGTAAAAAACTTTTTGAATTATAATTAAAAAATAATTAATCGAATTCTTAATTTTTTATTTAGATTTAATTAAATCTTTAATTTGACGAAAATTTATTACGTAAGACAATTGAATCAAATAACTTTTGAATTACAGTCAATTAAAATTTTAATTTGACAAGATTTAGTAACAATTAAATCAAACAATGTTAGTCAATTAAATACTTTACCAATATTTTATTTAGATGATCGATAGAAAATTATTTTTATTGTATTATTATATCATTTTGAGATTCAATTTTTAAAATATTTTTCATCAACAATTTAAATGAAGTCTAAACTAATTAATTAATTCAAGAAATAGGTACATTAAATGCATGATTTATCTATGCTTACCAAAATTAAAAATAAAAATAATTTTAGTTCAAGATGTAACTCGGTCATAGTTACACTCAAGTTCAAATCAGTCTCCCTCAAAAGATTATAAGGTAAAATTGATTTTTATTTTATCTTGATCTACGATCCATTTTGTTAATTCCTTGCAGAACCTCATTTGCTTGGAAAAGATTTAAATGAAATATTTTATTAAAATTTTTTGAAATTTTTAATAAAATTGATTAAATAAAAATTAAAATCAAAATCAAAAATTAAAATTAAAATTTATAAATTGTTAGATTTTGTTATGTAAATTAAATATATAAAATTTGAAAAAATAAATTTTATATACTTTTTAAATATATATTTTTATTAAAAATTTTAATATCATTTTTGTCGTTGAATAAGTATTAGTTGAATTTATATTATAAATTATATTTTTAATATTTTTACATATTATTAATTTTTTATTAAACTCTATCAATTTATCAAAATAATTTTTTATTAAAATTTTTATAAAAATTATTTTAAACTAAAATTTTCATAAACTTCACTAAAAAAAAATTTCATTTAAGTCATGTCCCATTTGCTACTGCTTTTGTTTTGTCCATTATTGAGTCAAGCGAGTCCAATGATAGTTCAATATTAATTATAGGTCTCGTATATACTTTGAGCCAATGAAAGCAAAGTAAAAGTGTTGAATATAAAAATTAAAATTTTTTTATTTATTAATTAAGCTTAATTAAATGAGATTAAATAATTAAATTTTTATCTTAATTTTAATTTAAATTAAAAAAATAAAATTTAATTAAATTCAAATTAAATTAAAATTTGAATCTCAAATTTTAAATAAGCTCAAACTCAAATTTAATGTATTGATTACTATCCTATGCATTACTGCCGCTTAATTTGTCCTTTATACTACTATTGCCACTGCTTTTAAAAAGCCGAAAGAGTGGAGCGTGATTAGAGATGTAAATAATACATTAGAACTCATAAGTTATTCGGGTTCGATTCGAAGAAAATTTGAATTCGATTCGATTATTATCGAGTCGAGTTCGAGCTCGAGTAGCTCGATTTATCGATCAAGCCGAATTCGAGTATTCTTATATCCGACTCGAGTAGCTCGCGAGCTTAATCGAGCTTTTATATTTAAATATATTTTTATTATTTTAATTAATAAAATATTTTGAATTCGAGTTCGAGTATGAATAATCGAACTTTTATCGAATATACGAATCGAGTTTATTTTTATGTATTAATCGAGCTTAATCGAGCGAGCTCGAGTAGCTCGAATTCGATCACGAATCAAGCTCGAGTTTGAAAAATAAAACTCGATCGAGCTCGAGTCGAGTATCGAGCCCTGAATTGTGAGTCGAGCTCGAGCTCGAGCTCGAGCTTCTCACTATTCGGCTCGACTCGATTACACCTCTAAGCGTGATGTAGGGGTGTAAATGATACATTAGTACTCGTAAGTTACTCGGATTCGATTCGAAGAAAACTCGAATTCAGTTCGATTATTATCGAGTCGAGCTCTAGCTCGAGTAACTCGACTTATTGATCGAGCCGAATTCGAGTATTTTTATATCCGATTCGAGTAGCTCACGAGCCTAATCGAGCTTTTATATTTAAATATATTTTTATTATTTTAATTAATAAAATATTTCGAATCCGAGTTCGAGTTCGCGCATGAATAATCGAACTCTTGTCGAGTATATAAATCGAGCTTATTTTTATATATTAATCGAACTTAATCGAGCAAGTTCGAGTAGCTCGAATTCGATCACGAATCGAGCTCGAGCTTGAAAAATAAAACTCGATCCAGCTCGAGTCGAATATCGAGCTCTGAATTGTGAGTCGAACTCGAACTCGAACTTCTCACTATTCAGCTCAACTCGATTCAATTACACCCCTAAGCGTGATGTTCCCACACTCTTTTTTTGTATAAAATACTTAGATACCTTGAAAATACAAAAAATATATATATCAAATATTATTTTTTTGAATAATTATATAAATCAATTAAATTAAATTTTAAATTTATATATATATTTATTTCTAAAGAAACATGCTTTGCTTGTTGTTACTTGTACAAGTTACATTAGATTGGTGGAAAGAAAAACTAATGAAAGTAAGAAAGAGAATATTAGGAAAATAATATGTTTTTTATTTTTATCTTTTTTGTTATCTAGATTCAAGTAACTAAATTTTTTTAATTTTTTTGAACCATAACATACATTTATTTCGTCCGGGTTTTTTTTTTTTAATTTATCATAAAAAAATTCGATAAGTTTGACAATTACATCCAGATGATAATCTGCATTGCTATATATTAAATAAATGGAAATGAACCAAGCAATTTATGCCACAAAAAAGAGCAGTAAAGATACTTAGGATTCCTAAAATTAGCAAAAGAAGAAGAAAATATAATATAACATCAAATTAATGGATCAAGAAAACAGAAATCCCACAATTATAAATTGATCTAACTTACATCACATGGTAAATCACATGTACCATTCGATTGGTTTGAAATGCAAATCTAATCATGCAAAATAATTTAGGGAAAAAGCCTTGGGACATAAAATATCATACCAATGAATCTAAGGATTCTACCAAGTAATAAAAGATGGAAAGCTTAGATGCTTAAAAACTATACGTACATTTGGTTTAAGGAATCCACAAATTTTCCTTCAACAGTAAATATTTGATTCTCACGTTTGATTCAGGATAAGATTAATCTTTATTTAAACATGGACAAGAATAAATACTTAACACATGCACTGTGCCAAGATGAACGACTCACCATATCACATATCTCTTCACTAAGTCTCGGTGACTTCTCGAGCAACAATAGCTCTTAAAATTTCATCAAGATATCTGAAGGCATCAATATCTGAAGGCATCAAAACTTCATCCTCAGTGGTGAAATTGTATCGCCAGCCAATAGCTCTTAAAAGCTGGTAGACTTCAAACATTGTAGGCCTCTCCTCGGGAGGTGGCAATACACAATTACATGCAACTTTCAGAACTTGGAAAAGTTCATTATCGACACCCTTCCCAACCAAGGATGGATCAATAGCTTTTTGAAGTTTTCCATCGTTTGATAGCTGCGTAATCCATTCTACCAGATTTCCATTGAAGCTCTCAGGAGCTTTGGCTACATCGGTAGGCCTCTCACCAGTTACCAACTCAAGAAGGACAATTCCAAAGCTGTAGACATTTCCATTGGGAGTGGCCACCAGAGTTCTGATATATTCAGGGGCAACATAACCTAAATCTCCAAACTCACCATCCACAAAGGTGCACAGATGTGTATCCATCGGGTTCATGAACCTAGCAAGACCAAGATTAGATATTTTGGGCTCAAAATCCGCATCTAGTAAGATACAATTAGGGCTTAAATTTCGATGAATTAAAGGAGGATTGCAGTTGTGGTGGAGCCATGCGAATCCTTTGGCAGCCCCTATACCAATTTTAAGCCTTAATGACCACTCCATAGATTTCTTACCATGCAAATTATCATTCAGGGTACCATTTGCCATGTATTTGTAAACTAAAAGCCTCTCCTTCTTCGCCATGCAGAAACCTAAAAAGGGAACTAAGCTACGGTCTTTCACTTTTCCCAGAGTAGCCATCTCAGAAGCAAACTCTTTGTCAGAGTGTTGAGAATCCAGTAACCTCTCAACCATTAGTAAGGTACCATCTTCAAGGACTCCTTTGTACGTGGTCCCCGTTCTTCCTGACCCAATGATATTATTTTTGCTGAAACTGTTAGTGGCCTTCAAAAGATCATTTAATCTCATTTTAGAAACTGACTTTTCAAACATGGAAACCTGACATGACATAACCTTATAAGTACATCACAGATAAAACCATAATCAAAGAAAAAAATAACTAATTGCAGTTTCATAAAATAAAGAAGAGTATTAGCTCCAATCTGGTATGAATATATTAAATTAGCTTGCCTTAATGCCTTTAGCTGCCTTTAAGCTCTTAGCCCATTCGTTTCCTTCTGGATCATCATCCTTCTTCCTCATGACAGATAATTTACGGAAATAGAAGAACATACCCATAGCAACACATACAGTAGCAAATGTCACCCCACCAACAGCAGCCCAAGCAATAACTCCACTTTTAGTGCCCTTTGAAGTTGAAGTCGACTGACACGGTTCCAAAGGCTTCCCACACAGCCCTAGATTATTTGCAAAATTGTCGACTGATGATGAAGCCAGAAAACTTGGAATTGGCCCGGTCAAGAGATTATCAGATACACTAAATGTTTTCATCCTACTGAGCAAAATGAGTTCTGCAGGAATCTGACCCGTCAACTTGTTATGATCAAGTTTCAAAATGTTTATGAAACTACAATTTGCGAGGCTTGCTGAGATATGTCCAGAGAAATTATTAAATGACAGATC